TTATCAGGAGGGACCAGTCCCTGGAGAAGGACATCATGCTTGGTAAAGTAGAGGGTCAGGAAAAGAGAGGAAGACCTTCAATGAGATGGACTGACACAGTGGCTGCAACGATGGGCTCAAGAACAGCAACAATTGTGATGATGGTGCAGGGCCAGGCAGTGTTTCGTTCAGTTGTACACAGAGTCGCTATGAGTCGGAGCTGATAGCACCTAGCGCCAACAATCTTTATGGAAGCAGACTGCCATATCTTTCTCCTGCGGAGCTGCTAGGGGGTTCGAGCAGCCGACCTTTTGGTTCGCAGCAGAGCGCTTTAACTACTGTGCCACCAGGGCTTTCAGGTATAGCTTATGTAAATCAGAATTGGATTTGTAAAAGTCTTTATTTAATCAGATGGACTCTTTTCTAAATTTCAAAATATCTTACATGCTTCCCAAGGAAAATCTTTCTACAATAAATAATAAAAACAAAGGTTTAGGATTTGCAGAATCTGGAGCGAAACCTTTCTACAATAAATAATAGAGACAAAGGTTTGGGATTTGCAGAATTTGGGTGTTTAGTCATTTTCTTAGCACAATTAAAAACAGAAGAGGTTGTAAATTTCCAGAACCCGATATATGTATAAATTATAAGTGGAACATGTCCTTACCCCAAGCTATTTAAATCAGATTTATTACAGATACATCCCATTTATGAGGTAGTCAGATTCCTCAGATGTTATGGGACGAGCTTTTTTAAGTTTCTGTTTCACCAGTCGTAGTCGGCAGGCAACCATGAGAAGCAGCAAAGCCGTGATAGCCAGGCCCAGGGCCAGGGGTAGCACCGCCCCTGTAAAAAGGTAGCAATGAAAAAGCTAGGTCAGTGATTAACAAGAACAGCTGCCATTTACTGTAAGCCCTGTGCATGCACTGTATAATCCAAACAACTCTATTAAGTAGGAACTAGTATTTTGAAGATAAACTGAGATGCAAAGAGGTTAAATAATTTGCCTAAAACTATGTAGCTTTTGAGTTGCAGGCTAGGTCTCAAACTCAGACCTCTTTAATACCAAATTCTATAGCAGGTTCCTACAAAATTTGTATACCATCAACGGGTACAAATGTTGCAGTCAGATCACCCCTATATCCATCTGTAATACGTAAAGAAAAAGAAGACATTCTGACTGTATGAAATGTTTTCATTATCGCCACTGATTACACTTGTGGATTCACACATGGTCATTCTCTCTTCAAATCGCTATGGATCAACTCCTGGTTTCTTGTTCTGTTTAAGCCTTAAGAAAGTTATTTCCTTTTTAAACCAGGGAACCTACTCTTAGCCAGTAGGACCATTGCTGAAAACTAACTTCAATATATCTTCTGGTGTGATTTTGACCAGAATTATTTAAGGAAAAAATCTCTTTAGTTCTCCCACATAAGGGTTTTCCAGTGGGGCTGGTCCTAAATGCCCAGACCAGAAGTGGCCTTTAGAGGCTTACACAAGTCTGCAAGAGACAGGGTGTGCCTTGCTTATTAAGTTCAGCAGGCTCTATTCTTAGTCTGGTCTACTCTGCAGTCAGGCCAGCTTTGGAGATGCGATGCTGGAACTATTTTTAGCTGCATGGGTCTTGCCAGCTGGTGGAACTAGAGGAGCGAAAACCTCCATTGGGTAAGCTGATTCCATAACAACATTTTCTTTCAAGTATTCGTTCACTCTGCATTAATTAAGAGCTTTCCTTGTGTCAGGTACTGAGCTAAGTGCTGGTAAAGATAATAAGCTGATGGTAAATAGTGTCAGCACTGTTGTAAGTGCTTTATATCTTAACTCATTTAGTTCTCACAACCGTTATCAGTTGGTCCTATTACTGTCCCCATTTTACAAATGAGGGAACTGAGGCATTAAGAATTAACTAACTTGCCTAAGATTATATGGCAAGTGGGAGAGCTGGGTTTTGAACCCAGACAGGGCAGCTGTAGAGCCCGTGGTCTTGTACTACGGCATACTGCTTCTCAGATAGGTAAATGAGACAGTGTTTGAATGACCTCAAGTCTGGCTAGATAGACATTTAAATGAAAAAGTGCAATAAAGCATTATAGCTACTATGGTAGAATTGTACATGAAGTACAGATGTAAAAAGGAATAGTCCCATCTATCTGGTCCATAGGATTTTTGCTTGAGTGATTTAATGTATTATGGAGCTTGTTTATGGTGGTTGGGGGAGAAAAGTTCATTTTTGGGCATTTGCAAGTTGCGATGCCTACAGGCAATCCAGGTGGAATCTTCCATTAGACTCCTGGATTACCTGGGCCTAAACGTATGGGTGGGCGTGGGGGGAAGTATTGGTGGTTCAGTGGTAGAATTCTTGCCTTCCAAGCAGGAGACTTGGGTTCAATTCCCAGGCAATGCACCTCATGCACAGCCACCACTCATCTGTCAGTGGAGGCTTGTGTGTTGCTATGATGCTGAACAGGTCTCAGTGGAGCTTCCTGACTAAGATAGACTAGGAAGAAAGGCCTGACGATCTACTTGTGAAAATCAGCCAATGAAAATTCTATGGATCACAACGGTCCAATCTGGTGCAGGACTGGGTAGCATTTTGTTCTATTGTGCACGAGGTCACCATGAGTCTAGGGTGAATTGACAGCAGCTAACAACAACGACAAAACACACCTATAATCTAGGCCCACTTTCCATTTGCCAAATCAGACACAAGTTCTCTGAACTACCAAATTTGATTCCTGTTAAATGCTATGATAACAAGGAAAATGAAATCTCCCCCAAAAGTACTTGCTAAAGTTCTAAAAATTATTCTTCACTTTTCAATATTTAGTTGGCATAGTTTCTTCAATGTTTTTAGTTTGGGTAATTTGAAAATTTAAAAATTCCAAACCCTTCTAAAACACACCATGATATTTTTCTCAGTAACCACTTAAGGGGATGAATGATGTATTCTGTTCATATGACTGGGAATGACACTCAAAATATGTAACAACTAGACTGGGCATCGGCCATTAGAACTGAGAATCTCTGGATACATCTGGGCATGGGGGAGGAACAGGCCTGGTTTCCCTCTGCATGTTGATGGGGGAGGGGACACTTGTATTCAAATATCTTTGGTCAAGGTAAGTCCAGTAGGCCAGAGGACTGGGGGGCATCCAGGTGCTTGACATCTGGATTATTCTTAGAAAATACACGGCTACCTCTTGTTTTAAAATTTTAATATTGTCCAGGTGTTACAAAGGAACATTCTAGGGTAAAAAGAAAGTTTTCTCAATGTTTAGATCTAAAACTTGAGAGTCATATTGTGTTCTCCTAGATTTTCTTGTACTAACTAGGTCGTGGGAATTAGAATTAAAATTTGCCTTTATACTGGCCTATGTCCTTTATAGTGTTATCTTTATTTAGTTAAAAAAACAACAAAAATTATGGAATTAATGGTCTTCTTCTTCTGCTTACTAAATATTCCTTCTCCCTCCTCTGCCTGTCCTCCATTCCCACGGGCTTCTGTCTTCGTCACTAGGGCACTTGGAGAGAACTAGGTACTCTAAGACCTTTGCTCTTATCGCATCCTAAATAACTCATGATATATGGCCATCAATTATTTACTGAGTTCAGGCCATGATCCAAGCAGTGTGCTAAATGGTCCCAGGCACTCTCCCTAACAACTCTAAGGCAGACATAGTTACTATCCTCATCTTACCAATGAGGAAATTGAGATGTAGAGAGATAAAATAGCCTACCTAGGGTCATGGAGCTTAGTAGTGGAGTAAGGACTTGAACCTTGACATCTGATTCTATAGCCTGTGTTCTTAACCACAGAAAATTACAGCTGGAAGGGACCACAGTGATTATCTGGTCCAATCAACTTATAAAGAGGAAACTGAGGTTTCTAGTTCAAGAGCCCAAAGATGCAGCATGACCTAGGGGATGAGAAGACGGTCCTGGCCCACAGATCATTGCTCTTGTCATGAACTCCTGCGGCTTCATCAAATATCCTCAAAGACTAGACGGCCCATGCTCCTGCAGATTTCCATACTCTGCAATGAGTTTCCAAGGTATGTTTTACCTGTTTCTGGGGGTGGGTGTTCCCCTCCTCTTCCATCACTCTTTGACTCAAAAATAAAAGTTTCCTCTTTTTTGTTGTTCCCTGAAGAACTACCATCTGCAGAAAAGAAACAGAGCATACACTGAAAGTGCATCAGGAACTTCAGGGAACACACAGAAAAGTACAGCCTTATTTATCTCTTTAAAGATGAACTATCAAGAAGGCCTGCAGTCTTTATTTCTCTAATAAGCATAGGCCTTATATTTGAGTCCCTGGGTGGTGCAAATGGTTAACTTGTTTGGCTGCTTGGAGGTCTGAGTCTACTGAGAGGTGCCTCTGAAGAAAGGCCTGGTGATCTACTTTTGAAAAATCAGCCATTGAAAACCCTATGAGCACAGTTCTACTCTGACACGTACGTGTGGGGTCACCATAAGTAGGAGCTGACTCAAGGGCAACGGGTTTTCATATTTGATACTAAAACACTAGATAACTATCACGATCAATTTAATATAGCAGATTATGTGACTAGTACAAAACCACTGGATGGAGAAAGAGGAGTGAGCAAACTGCTAGAACTACCACCACCCCTGGAGAAGGAAGGAAAGACCTTAGGCTAGAAAAGTCAAGGTTAGCCTCTGGGCTTCATGCCATAAAGAGTGTAGAGTAAACAGCGAAGAGAGGGTTTTTATTTTAAAAAGGAACTGTCAGCATCCCCCATGTCTGCGGCACGCATCCTGCCGTTTCACTTTCTCAGCACACCCCTGCCTGGGCTACCAGTAGCTTCATTTCTTTGGCTAGGCTCAGGGAGGTCTAGTGCTTGCCCAGCTTCACTCAAGAAGGAAGTGGGTCATAGGGCTGGGACTTGAATTCTAGTGTGTCTAACTGCTTGTTGGTGGAGATAAGCACTCATCTCTGATCTGATGTTATGCTGTTAAATGTCTAACCAATGTATTCAGTAATAATATAATATTTAGAGCAAGTATTAGGAAAGATAAAATCTTAGGATTTTCCCCCAGGTTCTGATGAGTCATTACTGTGCCATTCTGTCATTTCCCATCTAGTAATTCACAACTTTTGTGTGTTTATTGAGGAGGCCTGGTGGCACAGGGGTTAAGGGCTGGGCTGCTAACTCAAAGGTTGTCGGTTGGAGTTTCAAACCCACCAGCTGTCCGGGGGGAGAAAGATGTGGCAGTCTGCTTCTGCAGAGAGTATAGCCTTGGTGTCTGGGGTCTTAAAAGCTTGCAGGAGGCCATTTAAGATGCATCAATTGGTCCCAACCCACTAGGAGCAAAGGAGAATGAAGAACACCAAAGACACAAGGAAAATATTAGCCCAAGAGACAAAAGGGCCACATAAACCAGAGACTCTATCAGCCTGAGACCAGAAGAACTAGATGGTGCCCGACTACCATCAATGACTGCCCTAACAGGCAACACAACAGAGAGTCCCTGACGGAGCAAGAGAAAGTACAGAGCAGAACTCAAATTCACGTAAAAAGACCAGACTTAATGGTCTGACTGAGACTGGAGGAACCCCCAAAGCCATGGCCCCCAGATTCTCTGTTAACCCAGAACTAAAACTACTCCCAAAGCCCACTCTTCAAAGAATAGACTGGACTATAAAACATAAAATAATACTCGTGAAGAGTGTGCTTCCTAGTTCAATCAGATACACGAGACCAGATAGGCGGCTCCTGTCCGGAGGCAGGATGAGAAGGCAGTCAGGGACAAGAAATGGTTGAATGGACACAAGAAAACCTGGGGTGGAAAGGAGGAGTGTGCTGTTACATCATAGGGATTGCAACTAATGTCACATAACAGTGTGTGTATAAATTTTTGTATGAGAAATTAACTTGAACTGTAAACTTCTACTAAAGCACAATAAAAATAAATAAATAAATTAAACCATTAAAAAAAAAAAGATTACAACCTTGGAAACCCTATAGTGCAGTTCTATTCTGTTTTGTAGGGTTGCTACCAACTTGACAGCGATGGCTGGGTGTGTTTATTTACTGACCAAAAGCTAGTTGCCATTGAGTTGACTCTAACTCAGGTTGACCCCGTGTGTGTGTGTCAATGTGTGTCAGAGTAGAATTGTGCTCCATAGGGTTTTCATTGGCTTATTTTTCAGAAGTAGATTGCCAGGTGCCGCTGGGTGGACTTGAACCCCTAACCTTGTGGTCAGTGGCAGAGTGTTGGCGAAGTATTAACCAGTTGGTCCACCCAGGGACTCAGTACACTGACAATATAGTAATTAATGGGTTGCTTACTTATTAATTATGCAGTTACTCTAATACTGTGTGATTTCAAGTGGGATTCTGGGTAATATAATGCTTAATGGTAATGAATTCGAAATTGTTTGCTGACATGAGGAATTATATTGAGAAACAAAAAAATTTTTAAAGCTTCTTTGCACATAGAGTGAAAAAATGTTTATAATACTTGCAATTGCAATAAGATTATTTAAAGTTAGTATGTGAAATTTTTTGGTAATTTCTACTGAACAACATACGTGAATTTACCAAGTGTCACAAAGTCAACTGGACAATACAAAATGTAAAGGTATTAATGCTCTGCTAAAGCCAGAAAGCAGTTATATGAATTATCGTTGCAGTCACGTGTTAATGCCATTGAACAGAAGGGATTACAAATACTTTTATCTCACTAAACCAGTTGCCACCAAGTTGATTCTGACTCATGGTAGCTCTAAGTGTTTCAGAGTAGAACTATGCTCCACAGGGTTTTCAACTGCTGTCCTCTTTTGGAAGTGGATCACCAGATCTTTCTTCCAAGGCGCCTCTGGGTGATTTGAACTGCCAACCTTTCAGTTAGCAGCTGAGTGCTTAACCCTTTGCACCATCTAGGGACTCCATTTCATTAAGGTGTCTTTAACACTCCCTTTCCCTCACTCCGTACCATGAAAACCATTTCTGCCACGCCCTCTGAACTATCTCCTGGCCGTGTTCCTCTTCCCCATCCTCTTGGCCACGGCCGTGGGTCTTCATCTCCTTTGGATCGAGCTCCACAAGAGCCTCCTCCAGCCTTTCTCTTTCAGACATTCCTGACCACGAAGTGTGGCTATAAGGGGTACTCGTTCACACTTACTCAGCTTATCGGTACAGGGAGGTTAGCCCATGCTTGCTTCTCTTGGCCAAGACCACAGCCGGCTCCCACATTCTACTGTGCCTAGTCATGTTACTCTCCAAACATGCCGGCTATATATAGCCAATAACTCTGGCTCTCCTTCATGAACACCAAGCTCGCACAGAATGACAGAGATGAGTGAGGCACAAGCAATTTCTAGCAGGCTAGAGTATCTACCTTCTGCCTGTCAGGTCCTTGTACTGTGGTGGCTTGCGTGTTGCTGGAAGCTATGTCACCGGTATTTCAAATACCAGCAGGGTCATCCACGGTGGGCAGGTTTCTGCAGGGCTTCCAAACTAAGACAGACTAGGAAGAAAGGTCTAGAAATCTCCTTTTGAAAATTAGCCAGTGAAAAGCTTACCGATTACAACAGAATGTTGTCCAATAAAGACACGTCAACAGGAAAGACCAATTGCTAGGAAAGAATATCACATCTGGCAGAGAGCCAATGAAAATGCGGGACCCCCTCAGTGAGACGGACTGACACACTAGCCACAACAGTGAACTCAAACATACCAGTGGCCGTGAAGATGGTGCAGGAACGGGCAACATTTCGTTCCGTTCTACATAAGGCTGTCATGAATCAACGTTGACTTGGTGATGACTAACAATAATAGACTATCAAGACTTTTCAAATTGATTTCTGTTACTGTCCACCTCACTGTAGTGGTGGAAGCCTCTCTTCCATCCAGAACAGTGAGGGGAGACAAAAGGAAGAAGAGGAGCCAGGGGCTGTGGTGAAAGAAGGCAGTGACCACAGTGGAAGCGACGGACAACAGGCAACCAGGCCAAGCTGTCACTGCGCCGGGCTGACAGTGCACGGCTGCCCAGCCAGGGGGAGGAGGACGGTCAGCTGGAGCTGCAGGGACCGGTGTCCCAGGAGAAGGATGGGGACAGGGAATACTGAACCTAAATGATGAGACTGTGGTAGCACTGGGGCTACCAAGAACTTGAACTCTTGTTTGCACAGCAAGAGATTTTCTAGCACAGTGATTTCAATGCCTTTGGATTTGTTGGACCAATAACATTTCAAAATAATTCTGGGGCCAATTTAGGATTGCCAATTTTAAATTTTGCCCAAAAAAAAAAAAAAAGAAAACCCACACCAAACCGTTGTCGTCAATTCTGACTCATAGCAACCCTACAGGGCAGAATAGAACTGCCCCATAGGGTTTCCGAGGAGCAGATGGTGGATTTGAACTGCTGACATTTGGTTAGCAGCCATAGCTCACTGTAGCTCTTGCCAAGAAGACATTAAAATAAATGACCATTTATTACAACCATCACTTTCACTTGATTATAAAGTAAGGGTATGTTTAACCCCCAAATGAGAAAGGAGTTAATTACATAGAAAGGACAGTTCTTTAAATTGGGTGGTGGGGGGGCAAGTTGACTTCAAGCTGACTCTGACTCATGGCGATCCCATATGTGTCAGAGTAGAACTGTGCTCCCTCAGGTTTTCAATGGCTAATTTTTTTGGAAGCAGATCGCCAGGCCTTTCTTCTGAGGCACCTCTGGCTGGACTCGAACTTCCAACACTTTCGGTTAGCACCACCCAGGGACCACAATACATGTCACAGGGCTGCTATGAAGTCCAAAGGCGTGCACAGTGACGGGCACTCAGGGAGTACTCAATGCAGAAAAATTATTATTTTTTTAAATCAGGGTATATTTCACCGAACCCTTCAGATTTGCAGAACTCAGCCAGGACGGTGGTCACAAAGCATCTCTCCAGACACCTGGATTTCCTCATATTGTGCCTGAGCCCCAGCAAGGCAGATCTGGAGATTTTATTATGTATGTTTCTCATTTACGTAGCTACGCTACAAGAATTGTAAGTTAACACCCGCATAGAAAGTACTGCTTGATACAGAGAAAAAATGAAGAACACGTATCTTGCTTATTGTATTACTTTTTTTTTTTTTACTGCTTGTAGACATATCAGAGTGCAATTTTTGAGCCAATTTAAGATTC